ATAAATAGGGGCATAGGAGACACCTAGAACCCACACCACAATAACTTTCACCACACAAGAATTCCCAAGAATTCCTATAGGAGAAATCAAGAAAGAAGAGATCTTAAAGAAAGACCCTTCATAGCCAAGGAATTTAATTAAGGCTAAGAGGTAACCCATGTCTCAACAAAACCTATTTTCTTGCTATAATCTTCTTCTTTGGCTCCTTCTATATGTTTGTGTCTTGATGAAATCTTCTATGATAATTATGATATGATCTTGATGATCGATGAGATGATTCTATTTGTGATCTTGATGTTGATAAGAGGATCTTGATAATTGTGTTATGTTCTTGATAAATCTTGATGTTTCTTGATATTAAAGATGAACTATGATCTTGATGGTTTAAATAGGGATTAGAGCCCTATGTTAAATTGGGAATTTTATATGGTGATGTTCTTGGTGTATATTTGGGTGGGAATTCCCATGTTCGGGTGTTGATTACATTTAGAAGTCATGATAGGTTGTGTTCAATGTGATTCTTGGTTTTGATCCATTATTTGACTACGTGGTATCGTCGTTTGCGTTTAAAAGTGTCTAAGTATCGATGTGGATCTTTGTTGATGATTTCAAGATTCAATTCACCAAAGATTCCTCCGGTTGCTCGATCTTTTCCTCACCAAAACAACAGGAACAACATTTACGGTTTATGGGTGTTGGAGATGGAATTGGTTGATGTAGGGGTTGGATTTGGGATTATTTTTTGTGTTTTTGTATAAAGATATTTCCGCCACACCTTGGTCTTAGGTGATAAGGAATGGATGGCACCACAAGGTTGGTATTATCTTGATAAGCCTAAAAGAACATCACCCAAATCACATGAGAGAAAACAAAATGCCTTAGCATTTCTTTCATTCAACTTCATTCATCTCTATCTCTAAAATTCTGATTGTTCTTAGCCTTTAAATAGGCTAATACATAACTCTCAAGGAGATCAAAAGACTCCATTACAAGGCAATGAATGATATCCATTCATCCTACACATGTAACGTAAAATAAAATAAATATAGCACATGAATAATATTAAAACTATACTAAATGAGAATTTATTTGCCTTAATGGATTGAGTTTAGCTTCATTTGAATTGTCCCAATGCAGCCACAAAAATTTGGACCATTTAGATTAATTCCTCACTTATTTTTGGCAAATTGCATGGATTAATCCATTTACAACCTGTCGCAATTTCTTAGCTTTTGAACTTGTAATTGTGACATCTATTATTTGTATGTTGATCTTTGAGCCTTAGTTGTCCTCATCAAGTATGGTTTCGGGTTCCACAAAGGATCCCGGGACCCAGGTATCGAAAAAGAGTGAGTGGGGGGTAGGGGGACCCGCCACCTACCCGCTGCTCAAAATTACGCCGCCGGCAGCGGGCAGACGTCTGCCCGTCGGGCACCCGCTGCCCGGAGGTTCGTCGCCGGCGGGTGGAGGGCTACCCGCCGGTCCCCCGGTGGATTTCTCCTACTTTGGGATTTTGGCTTCCCCGTTTGATGTTTCCTCGCCCCCCGTGGTGTCCCAACAGACTCCGGTTATCGTGCCTAAGTCTAGTTTGATGTTTCGGGTACCGTTCGTAGGATAAAAGAGTCTTATGTATTGCATGCTAGTTGAATTGGTATCCCGTTGGCCTAGGTGAAAGATGTATGAACCCCTTAGGACTATTCTTATTATGTGGATAACTACGCCTAAGTTTTATTTATACGTTTTCCCCCTCCCTATGAGTTAATGTGGGTTCCATGTGCTTGCTATGTGATATATGTGCATGACTCTTAGCTGCGGTCAATTTGGTTATTCTTGAGCTGCGGTTCATTATCCTGGCTGCGGTCAGTGATGATTGCTATAATCTGCAAGTGCACAGAGTCAATCACAGTATAAATTCCTGGAGTATTCCAGGGTCGATCCCACGAAGAACACTATTAACTGTTATATTTAATAATCAAATTGTTGATAAGGAAAATCTCAAATAAATAGAATTAATGTGATTAAAAAGAATATTTTATGAATTCAAAATAAAGGAAATTTCAATTGAGAGAAGACTAGGGATTTGGGTTCACCTATTAGATAATTAACTAACTCTCCTAAGTATTAATTCTTATGACTATAGTGATGATTGTTTCAAATATATCCTAATACTCCGTCGAGCTACTAGGTTGTATCCAATTAACTGTGATCATCCGTCGATATCTCACCAACATTAATTAAACCCATTAAGCAACAATCAAATATCACCACAAATACCTAAAGCTATGTCTAGTTTAGGTCAATTGTGTTTATCTTACGAGTTCTAGGTTCATAATTCACCTGTCAGTTCTTCTCATGAACCCTAATATTAGAATTATGCAATGGCCAGTCACACAATCCACAATTAAAATACATAAAATAAATATAATCAAATTCAATTATTAAACTGAAATTAGAAGAATCAACACATTTGAATAATAGTCAATTAATCTAATTTAGGCTAATCCAAATCCCTAATTTAAGTTCTAGCCAATAATCATAATTAAATGTATGAAAAGTTCAAGAAATAATATTCTGCAAATTTAAATAAGAAGGAAGAAAAATAGTTCAAGCCTAAGAGATGATAGCCGCCATTGAAGCACCGCTGCCGCTCCCAAGCTTCCGTATTCTTCTCTCGTATTTTTCCTCTATTCTTTTCTTCCTTTTTTCCTCTGCCGTCCGCCGTCCCTCCAATCCTTCAAAACAAAAACCTTAATCCCTTATCTATTTATTTTTCTTTCTATGCTGCGTTAATCTGTAAAAGAAACCAAACAAAAAACAAACTTAAGTTAAAATAATTATTATTATTATATTAACCTAATGACACCACTTAACTAAACTTAATAATTAAAACACTATTTTAAGATATAAAACTACCAAATGATTTTAATATTATAGATAAAATAAAACTCTTATTTATATTAATAAAAATGTAACATTAGCCTAATATTTATTAAAACGAATCTAAACTAGCCTAAACTAATAACATATACTAAATATAATATTTATAATATAATTATAATATAATTAACCCTAAAACTTAATTTATTTATGCAAATCACTAACTAAAATTACTCTAAATAATGCCTAGAAATTAAGCTTATCAAACTTCCCCACACTTAAGGTTTTGCTTGTCCCCAAGCAAACTTATTCAATGAAATCAAACTACCAACCATAACCATGTCAACTAGGCATTCAATTCAAGGGAATGGGTGAACACATAATACTTCATGAGAGTTCAAAGTCATACGCACACAAGACAATAGAGAATAGTAGTCCACACGGTTGTTCACTCAATCTCTCACAAATATATGTATAAGAAAGGTACACACCATCCTCTATTGAGAGTGCACTTGCCATAGGCTTGCTTGTCCACCAAAACTCCACTACCAAAATTATATGAAGAACACGAGTCAAAAGGTCTTTATTTCTGGGTTGTAACGGGGCCAAGGGTATGTGGTTTAAGAAAGAAAAGATATAAGGAAATACAAATAAAGTCAAAGAAATCAGTAGAGCCATAATTTCACCATACCAAGTGCAAGAACATGTATTCTACCAATACAATGAACTCTACCAAAACAAACCATCATCTCTTCATTCTCCCTCATCATTTTCACTGAAAACTCCTCAAAACAACTTTCAAATCTCATTCCTTTTTCATCTTTTTTTTTTCTTTTTCATTCTTTTTTCCTTTTTTCCTTTTTTTTCATTCTTTTTTCCTTTTTCTCTTTTTTTTTTTCTCTGGTAAAACCAAATAGATAGCTCATCGTTTCCACATCACCCTCAATAGTACTCTTCCCATAATCATCAAATTTCTATCATGCCTTCATTGCTCACAAATCGTTTTAAGAATAAAATGAGCACAAAAGTTTGGGCTATCAAGATTTTCAACCCACAAAATTAGAACATATCATTTTGTTCTTTTTTTTCATTTTCACATCCTTTGATCACAAATAATTCTTCACTCAAAGAAAACCAATTGTACAATCACCTTTCAACTCCAACCTCACTCATACTTCATCACTTTTGGTCATCTTGCACAGATAAATGAAATAATGACTTCTACTGACTCAAGGACGGGTTAAAAGGCTTCTTTTTATGAGCAAAGGTTCTTTGGGATTGGCTAATGAAGAAAAATGTCTTATATTTATTTTAAAGCTCAAAGTGGTTCACTAGGGGAAATATAACATGTATAAGGATGTGGTCATTTTTAAGGCCATAAGGCTACTCCTAATGCCTAAATCATTCTTGTGTCATCATATAACATGTAGCCCTGAAATGGTATAAAGCAAGTTCTAGAAGTAACACAATCAAAGAAGGCAATAAACACTCAAAATGAAAATAAGTTGCAGTGGGCAACCTCTAGGCTCAAAAGCTCACGGTGTGACAGAATTTGACTAGCAACTCTATGCAAGCATACATATAGCCAAACACATTCAATGATATTATGCACTCCCAAAACACTAGAAATTATCTCCCAATCAACATAGTCATTAGATGGCAATTTTTAAACTTTATTTTGCTGAAAAATTGCAGAAAAATGAAGGAAAAGATGCAGAAAATTCTATAAAAATGCAGAAAATTAGTGCAGGAAAAATAGAAAAATGCATGCAGAAAATTCCAGAAAAAATGCAGAAAATTAATGCAGAAAAATAGAAAAATGCAGAAAATGTTGCAGAAAATTGCAAGAAAAATGCATAATTTTTTTTGATATTGCCTATTTTGCATAAAACATCCCATAATCTTACTGTCCCTTCCCCACACTCAAACTCAACATTGTCTTCAATGTTAAATATAAAAGCAAGTATGAGAAAATGAAATAAACAGGAAACTTCCCTGTTAGTTGCCAGTTTCTTCCGGGGCTGCCTTTTGGTGAAGCAACCATGAATGGTCTCTTTTTCTCTCTTGCAATCACTATGGCCTCATACGAACCAACTTTAGTGACCATGAAAGGACCAAACCATCTAGACTTCAACTTCTCTAGAAAAAAACTTAAGACAAGAATTAGACAACAAAACTTCTTGCCCTACATTGAATTCTCTCCAAAAATTATTTTTGTCATGCCAAGCTTTAGTCAATGTTCTCCACAATCTCTCTTCTTTTGCATGAAGTAAATGAGCATAAGAAAACATAAGAAAAGTATCATTGTTACTCAAAAATTCGTATTTGAACCGCAATGAAGGTGGGTTAAGTTCAAGTTGATGTGGTGTTTCACTAGGTGAATGCTTAACAAATTCTTCTTCTGAAGGGTTCTCAATAACATCAACAGAAAGACATGATTCATCAAAAGTTGGTAATTTTACAGCCGTAGAGATAAAGAATTCCTCTTTTTCTTTACCTACTCTAAAAATCAATTTCCCTAAAGGCATATCAATTAATACTCCTCCTGTTAACAAAAATGGTCTACCAAGTATAAGAGATGTATCTGTATCACTACCCATATCAAGACTCAGAAAATCAGCAGGAAAATAAAATTTACCAACTTTTACCAATATATCCTCCACTACTCCAAGCGGGTACTTTACTGATCTATCAGCAAGTTGAAGAGAGATTGTTGTTGGCTTCATATCAGCTATTTCCAACTTATTGAAAAGAGTTAAAGGCATAAGGTTAATACTGGCACCTAGATCACATAAGCATTTATCAACAACAGTATTACCAATAGTGCAAGGAATAGAAAAACTTCCTGGATCCATTAGCTTAGGAGGTAATTTGCTTTGTAGAATAGCACTACACTCCTCATTTAAGTGCACAGTAGCAAACTCTTCCAGTTTCTTTTTATTAGACACAATTTCCTTAATGTACTTGGCATAAGATGACATATTAGCAAGTGCTTCTGCAAAAGGAATATTAATTTGCAATTTTTTAAAAACCTCTAAAAATCTTTTAAAGTTATTGTCCTGGTTCCTCTTTTGTAACCTCTGTGGATATGGAATGGGGGGTACATAAGGTTTTACTGTAGAGGAAGTGAGGTTTTGATCACTAGAATTCTCTTTAGGCACTTGTTCCTCTTCTTTATCACTCTTTTTTTCAACCCTCATGGGTTCACTTTCTGTCATAATTTCATTCAATATCTTACCACTTCTCAAAGTGACAGCCATAGCTCCTTCCCTAGGGTTTATTTCAGTGTTACTAGGAAACTTACCTCGATCTTTTTCTGCAACCAATTTAGCCAACTGACCTACTTGCAGCTCTAAATTATGAATGGATGCTTGGCTGGATTGAGCAAACTTATCAATTTTTGCATCCATTTTCTTCATCATCGTGTCCTGGCTAGCCATGTATTGCATGAACATCTCTTCCAATTGAGGCTTTTTCTCCTGAGCAGGAAGTTGAGACTGTTGTGGTGCAGGTAGCTGCTGGAAAGGTCTGTATTGCTGCTGCTGGAATCCTGATGGTCCTTGTTGCTGGAATCCGGGTGGTCCCATTGGTCTTGCATTACCTTGATCTCTCCATGAGAAGTTAGGATGATTTCGCCAACCTGGATTATATGTATTAGAAAATGGATCATTTCTTGGTGGTTGCCTACCCATATTGGATCCCATGTAATTAGCTTCCTCATAAGATGGTTGTGATGACTCTGCATTCATACAAACAGAAGAATTATGACCATATGTATTGCAATAAGAACAAAATTCTTTATTCGAACTATCACGAGTCATCAACAAGTTCATCTGTTTAGTCAATTCAGCCACTTGTGTTGTCAACTCAGATTGTGTGCTAATTTCATGCACAGTAGTTCTTCGACCTCTCACTGCCTTTTGTCGAGAATTACTAGCTAAGCTCTCATAGATAGCTTCTAATTCATCACTATTTTTATCACCTGTGTATCCACCTGCAGCAGTATCTACAAGAGACTGACAATTAGGAGCTAAACCATCACAAAAGAATTGTGTCAACAATAACAATGGGAATTGATGGTGTGGACATTGTGTCAAAAGCAATTTAAAACGATCCCATGCTTCATGAAATAATTCACCCTCTCTTTGAGTGAAAGTGCATATCCTACTCCTATAGTCCATTGTCTTTTGAGATGAATAAAATTTAAACATGAAAGCATTGTAAACATCATCCCAAACTCTTAAAGAACCCTCTGGTAAATTTAACAACCACTGCCTAGCATCTCCCCTCATGCAATATGGAAAACATTTCATTCTAAGCTCTTCTTCAGACAAATTATTTAAAGGTAAAGTTTGTACCGTACTATAGAGCTCTCGCATGAAACCCAAAGCATCTTCACTTCCCAAACCGTTAAAGGTAGGGAGCATATTCAGATGGAAAGTCTTGAGTTCATAATTTCTAGCTGCATCAGATAATTGAATGCAAGAAGGATTAACAACTATTATCGGTCTTTGGATGTCACGAAGACGTGGTTGAGCTGCTAGATTTTGAGGAAGTGGAACTATTGGTGGTACGGGGTCATCCAGTTGACCCACTCTATTGTTTTCAGCCATATCAAGCCGCCTTCGTACCCTGTTTTTTCTGCAAGTACGCTCAATTTCAAGATCAATAGGGAATAATTCAGTGTTTTTATGCCTCAGTGATCGCCTTAAGTTCATAAACAGAATAAAATAAAAACAAAAAAAAAAACTTAATAAAAATAAGAATAAAATAATAACGAACCTAACAACTTAAATAAATTTGAAAAGAAAAACTTAAAGAAAACAGTTTAATAAAAGTGTTCCCCGGCAATGGCGCCAAAAACTTGATTGCTATAATCTGCAAGTGCACAGAGTCAATCACAGTATAAATTCCTGGAGTATTCCAGGGTCGATCCCACGAAGAACACTATTAACTGTTATATTTAATAATCAAATTGTTGATAAGGAAAATCTCAAATAAATAGAATTAATGTGATTAAAAAGAATATTTTATGAATTCAAAATAAAGGAAATTTCAATTGAGAGAATACTAGGGATTTGGGTTCACCTATTAGATAATTAACTAACTCTCCTAAGTATTAATTCTTATGACTATAGTGATGATTGTTTCAAATATATCCTAATACTCCGTCGAGCTACTAGGTTGTATCCAATTAACTGTGATCATCCGTCGATATCTCACCAACATTAATTAAACCCATTAAGCAACAATCAAATATCACCACAAATACCTAAAGCTATGTCTAGTTTAGGTCAATTGTGTTTATCTTACGAGTTCTAGGTTCATAATTCACCTGTCAGTTCTTCTCATGAACCCTAATATTAGAATTATGCAATGGCCAGTCACACAATCCACAATTAAAATACATAAAATAAATATAATCAAATTCAATTATTAAACTGAAATTAGAAGAATCAACACATTTGAATAATAGTCAATTAATCTAATTTAGGCTAATCCAAATCCCTAATTTAAGTTCTAGCCAATAATCATAATTAAACGTATGAAAAGTTCAAGAAATAATATTCTGCAAATTTAAATAAGAAGTAAGGAAGAAAAATAGTTCAAGCCTAAGAGATGATAGTCGCCATTGAAGCACCGCTGCCGCTCCCAAGCTTCCGTATTCTTCTCTCGTATTTTTCCTCTATTCTTTTCTTCCTTTTTTCCTCTGCCGTCCGCCGTCCCTCCAATCCTTCAAAACAAAAACCTTAATCCCTTATCTATTTATTTTTCTTTCTATGCTGCGTTAATCTGTAAAAGAAACCAAACAAAAAACAAACTTAAGTTAAAATAATTATTATTATTATATTAACCTAATGACACCACTTAACTAAACTTAATAATTAAAACACTAATTTAAGATATAAAACTACCAAATGAATTTAATATTATAGATAAAATAAAACTCTTATTTATATTAATAAAAATGTAACATTAGCCTAATATTTATTAAAACGAATCTAAACTAGCCTAAACTAATAACATATACTAAATATAATATTTATAATATAATTATAATATAATTAATCCTAAAACTTAATTTATTTATGCAAATCACTAACTAAAATTACTCTAAATAATGCCTAGAAATTAAGCTTATCAAGTGACTCACTACTAGGGCTGCGGTCCACCTCATGGGCCTCGTGTGCTGTGGTCCACCGACTGGACGCGTCAGGCGGTGTGTAGGGCTACAAGCCACGAGGAAGGCCATAGCCCACCGACTGAGTTCGTCAGGCGGTGTGTAGCGCTATGGTCGGCTGCGATCCACCGAGTGTATCTGCCAGCGCTGTGTAGGGTCGTAGTCCCCAAAGATCATAGTCCACCGACTGAATCCCTCAGGCGGTGTGTAGGGCTTTGATAAACTACGACCCACCGACTGAGCTCGTCAAGCGGTGTGTAGGGTCGCAGTCCCCAAAAGAGGATCACAGTCCACCGACTGAACGTGTCAGCGGTGTGTAGGGCTGTGGTCCGCCGTTGAATCCATCGACGGTCTATGCAAATTGGCTGCGGTCAATTCCTTCATGCTGTGGTATGAGGTAGGGTGCTGCGATTGGTCCCGTGGCGCCACCAAAGTGTGCTTGTGTGACAAGGATATTGATTGAATGATGATGTGAATGACCTGAAATTGAATTGTGACCTGTTTATATGATGTTGCCTCTATATAGTTAGTTATCGTTGTTGAATGTGTTTATCCCTACCTGTCGAGTCTAATCCTGGCTTTAAAGCTAGAGTCTCCTAAGTACATTCCTTCCTGCTTCAAAATGGTTTAACTATATGTATGTATATATATTTTCCTATATTATATTTTAACGCGTTAGAGTGGGTTACCAGCATCATTCGCTGAACAGATATATTTGGCTTTCAGGCACAGATGATTAGCTTCCGAAGCGCGCTAGAACTCGGATTAGATAGTTAGTCTTTTCCTTTCGGCCTGCGTGCCTTGATGATGTAATGCCAATATTTGAGGATAGTTAGTTAGAATAGCCTGTGCATCTGAGTTCTCTAGCTCAGATGTGCATAACACCCCCGACTCTATGTTTAGAATGCTTTATTTGTTATCCATTTAATAGAATTGCTTTCGTATTATAAGATCAAAAAGTTTTAAAATTTTCGGGGTGTTACAGATGGTATCAGAGCCTAAGTTTGACCCTAGGATAAGACTCTCTAGACCGAACTTTAGGACATTAGGCTTGAACTCTAAATATTTAGGAATATAGGTTTCAGGAACCTTAGGACGCGCGGTGAGATTGTGAGTATACCCGTCATCACATAACCCTCCATCACTCTACCCTTCGTTTAATTTAAAGAACTTCCCCCTTTGCTTATCGCATTAAGGTAAGGGTGCAACACTCTAACTCGACATTACTATAAACATTGGCTCAGTAGATCAGCAGCATGGCACCGAACAGAAGACAGTCAAGAACTCCGGAACCCGCCACACACGATCCCCTGGCTCAAACTCTACAGCAACTAACACAAGTTGCCCAGGCACTGAGCGACGTAGCTCTCCGCAACAACATACCACCACCACCTCCACCAAACACAAACCCAGAAATCGCTCGACAAGTTTCAAATCATCGACCACCCATTTTCTCAGGAGAAGAAGATCCCGCAATCCTCGAGGAATGGATTCGGACCTTCGACAAGATCCTGGGATTGGTAGAATACCCAGAAGAACGTTGTGTAGAGATAGCCTCGTTCTACTTCGGACACGAGGCGGATCTTTGGTGGATCCACGAGGGGCCCACTTACAGACAGGAACCAGGGTTCAACTGGGAAAACCTAAAAACACGACTACGAGAACGATTCTACCCAGCACACGTAAAAGCAACCATGCACGAAGAGTTCCTCCACCTGAAACACTACCGACGTGGAATACCATAAGCGGTTCCTCGAACTGGCGCACTTCGCGTCAGAATTGGTCCCCACAGAGGCAACGAAAATAGAAAGGTTTATATCTGGCCTCAACTTCGAAGCCTGGAAGGCACTAGTAGTAAGCGGACCCCGGACCCTCAACGAGGCTTACTCCAGTGCTGCCAATCTCTATCGAATCCAACAACAACAACATGGGGTTCAGGAACATATTCGTAAAAGGAACACAGGAGGTGGGGCACCATCTACGAAAAGAATGAGAAACGACACTAACACTAGGTCGAGCAACCCAGCTGGCCAAGGGCCACCCCAGGGAAATAACGAAGCTAATACGAGGAGCTTCCCTTGCCGAAGATGCAACAAAGACCATAAGGGCAAGGACTGCATGGGAAACCCTTGGCGATGCTTCAACTGCGGAGGAGAAGGACACAAGTCATTCTAATGCACTCAACCCTCGAACTCGCGCCCTACAATCATGGGCAAACGCGGGGGAACAAACAATCAGCGGAATTACGGTGCTCCCGGAAGAGTGTTCGTCATGAGCCGCACTCAGGCTGAACTCAAAAACGAGGGAAACCCCGACGAAGAAAACATGGCCCTAGGAGACGAAGACCCCGCAAACCAATCAGAAGAAAACCAAGAAGACGAGTTCTGTTTAGGATAACTAGTGAATTCCCTGTAACCACGCTCATAGTAAAATTACTTGTTTAGATTAGCTACTTCGGAATTATTATAATTAAAGAAATGAAATCAAAATAATTTAGCAAAAGGAAAAGGACTAGTCTACTCAGAAGAAAAACTCGCCCAAGCAACAACAAGAAAGACCGGTCAAATCTTCTACCACTAGAAGACAAAAAGAGCCAATCTGCTACCACTAGAAGACAAAAAGAGCCAAAGGGATACACAACAAAGAAAACTAATGTGTTTAATGGGGATTGAACCCTAGACCTCCCACTTATAAAACCAAGTTCCTAACCACTAGGCAATGAGTGTTTCCTAAAACTTCAAGGGAACACTCCCTTCTTAAACCCCTACAAGTCCCTAAAACACACAAAAACCCCAAAGCAAAAACCCTTCTTCTTCTTCATCCCACAAAACCTCTCCTCCTCTCTCCTACTCCCTCTCTCTCTCTCCCCACACTGTCGACGAAACCACCCAGGCCGCACCACCGCCAGACCCTGCCATTGACGCACCGGCGACCTCCCGGCCACACCCCGCTGCCGGCCAGCCACCGGACACCGCCCGTCGCACGCCCGCCGCCATCCCGTCGCTCGCCCACTGCCACTCACCGCCCGAATCGCCGTCCGGCTTCCTCCAGCTGCCCACGCGACCGTCTACTCCACCCAGGACCAGCCACGCCTCGCCGTCCAAAAATCGAGCCGCACCGCCACCGCCGGGAGCCCTCGCCGGAGCTTCGCCGGAAGATCACCGGGAAAAGCATCACCCGAAAAAAAAAAAAAACGCCACCTAGGGAGATCTCACAATGCCGAAAAATCCCGTTGGTATCCGAGCTCCGGAGTGGAACAATCCCAACTACACGGTGATCGGAGGTAAAGCCCTCGAACACGACCAATTCTATCCGGAGTTGGTCGATATGCTTAGGTTCCAAGGACTCTTGGACACCTATCTCCCAATCAAAGGGGATACGTACCCCGAGCTGGTGAAAGAATTCTATAGCCACTTGGAAGCCGTCAAGCGG